GGAGATTCAACCTGCAGAGGTTTCTTAAAACATAGAAACTAGGAGCAGGAGTATGCCATTTGACTATTTGACCCTGGTCAGCCATTCAGTATGACCATGGCTGATCATCCAACTCAGTACCCTGTTCCCGCTTTTTCCCCTTAACCATTGATTCCTTTAATCCCAAAAATAATATCTAACTCCTTCTTGAAAATATTCAATGTTTTGACCTCAACTGCTTTCTGTGGCATAGAATTCCACAGGGTGAAAGAATTTCTCCTCGTCTCTGCATTAAATGACTTACTCTATGTCCTTAGTCTGTGATACCTGGTTCTGGTTTCCCCAGTCATTGGGAACATCCTTCCTACAGGTACCTTGTCCAGTGCTGTTAGACCTTTATAGGTTTCTCCAAGACATCCCTCATTCTCCTAAAATCCAGTGAATATTGTACTAACTGATCCAATCTCTCTTCATTACCAATCCTGCCACCCCAGGAATCAACTGAGTAAACCTTCTTTTCACACTCTCTATAGCTAAGACAGGTTTCCTTAGATAAGAAGATCAAAACTTCACACAATATTCCAGGTGTGGTCTCACCAAGGCCCTGTGCAATTGCAGCAAGAAAGCCCTATTCCTGAATTCAAATCCTCTTCCAAAGAAGACCAACATACCATTTGCTGCCTTTACTGCTTGCTATAAAGTTTGCAAGGTGAACTTCCAACCCTAAAGCAGGCTTGTTGCCCTGTAAATATAGTGACCGATCCTTCATGGTCACCAGGGAACAGGCTTGCAGACATCAGAGCCATGGAATGGTCTTTTCCATGACTGTTACCAGTCATAGATTGTTCAATAACAAAAAATGGATACAAATAGATGATTCCACCATTTCATTTCAATTATAAGATATGTATCCAATATTCACATAAAATTGTAACATCCTCTTAAAGCAATCAGACACAAAATCTATTCTGAAATCACAGTGTTTGATGACTGTCTTTACCTTTAGACTGAAGGACTCCATGAAAGACTGACCAGTGCAAGTCTTTTACTTAAAATTGGCTCTGCTCGTATGTGCTCGGTGACTTTGGCTGAACGGTTGTATCCATAACTTCTCACGTCATGGGACATTTATTTGTAGGGAGATGTGTTGGGAATGTTTGACCCGTCACCTGCTACATAATCATTGAAATATTGATTCAGAAGGATTCTCTTATATTCGTGTGTACAAAGCTGTATGTTAATCAGGTTAGAGGATCAGGGTGAATGTTTGATGTGTACGTATATATTAGCAGATGCTTAGTTTTACCATTGTAAAATTGAAATTAATTCAGTCGACATGTAGCACATAGCTGCAGGCAGGATGGGCTACTGTGTAACAAAGACTTCAAAGCCAATTGGTGCAGAGAGTAATAGTTTGTTTTATTTATTCATTGACAGGATGAGGGTATTGCTGGTTAGGCCAGCATTTATTGCCCATCCCTAATTAGCCAGAGGGCAGTTAAGAATCAACCACATTGTTGTGGGTCCAGAGTCACATGTAGGCCAGACCAAGTAAGGATGGCAGATTTCCTTCCCGGAAGGACATTAGTGGATCAAAGGATGCAAAATAGGGCTCCTTAGCAAAATGCTGATGCCAGTGCAATACAAGTTGCAGTAAGTTTTGACCCTTCTTCTGAGATGCCCCACAAATCTGAGCATACTACCTCAGGTGTGCCAGCACCTTATGTGGCAAACATACTGCATGGGCTTCAACCAACTGGCTATTGGGGAGTAATCCTCAGTCAGGGAAGGCCATTGTGGGGCTTGGAGGCAGCTTGCTGGGATGTAAAAGGGACAATAATTGTGACCAACGTTCCATCTAAGCTGCACGCTCTGTGGCTTCATACACAGGGATCAGTGTCAGCACCATTGATCACAGAATTAACTTCCATTTCCGGAAGTCACGGCCACGTACGGACCTCGGAAGACTGCACAACGGAAAGAAAATAAGGAGGAACGCTGATTGTGACAGGCAGCACCTCAGCATGCAAGGCTGGGAGATGACAGTATATCAGAATACATGGGTTACTGTGGGAGGAGGAACCACCGATGCTCATCATCCCTCTGGCAGCCGGATGATTGGCATGGCTAAGCTGTAGGAACAGAGCTCTTGGGAAATGTTGGGAGATGAAGACTTAAATGGAACATTTGCTCGGGAACACGTAGAAACTCAGAGCTGCTCGGGTTAACAGAGAATGAACAAAGAAAGGAACGTGTAAGTTGGCGGGGGGTTACCTAGATTGACTGGACTGTGACTCATTCCGCACCGTGCAATGTGTTGCCTTGCATCTTCATCCGAATCGCAAACATGCGATGGAAATGAGAAACAGCAACAACTGCACCTAGGATTGGCAGAGTAAGTATTTCTGAAGGTGGGGGCTCTATTTATGGGCCTGTGAAACCCAGTAAGGGACAATTGCATTAATCTGACCACTGTTGTGTCAGTGTCTAATTTATTTCTAATCATAGCACCCTGCATGTGAAATGTAAAGTACAAATCCTGGCCACAATCAAGCTTGATCATGTCAATGGCCATTATAGATTGCTCATAGACATCTCTGTGAAACCGAAGTAATCAGAGGTGACCATAAAAGTGTCATGTATGTGTAGCAATTCACAAAGAAATCCAGGCTTTAAAAGGCTGCACAAGGCCTTGGAGCTGATTTCCTCTCATGTTGAAATGTAAGTGTTCGCCAGCATGCTCTTCTCTACTGCGTTACTTTTATTTTGTAATACTGGTGGAGGGCATGATCTCAGTAATTCTCCTTCATTTACAATCTCCTACTGTACTTACACAGCATGGCTTGTACTCTGTAAATCAGAATAGGGTCCACTGTGCCAAAGGTGAGGAAGTTCTCCCTTGTTGGAGTTCTCCATGTCCCAAAGCATCAAGGACAATGCTAAACTGTCGATCAAGATGTGATGCGGATACCGACTCCTCTCTGATATTGCCCAAAGAAGTTAATTGGGACAATGACCAATCGATCCAGCCATAGCAGGGATCAATGTCATTGTAGCCACAGTGCAACAAAGGTGCAGAGAAATTAAGGAGGAACTGATGCAATTTGTGCCAGATCACATCACTTTGTCTCACTTCCCTGTGACGGGTCAGTGCTGCAGTCCTGGTAGTAGATTTCACAAAAATCTGTGTTCCCCAGCAACAGGGTGCTGTGTAGATGGGGTACATAAATTAGGCTGACTTCATCCATAAGAAAGGATTTCATCCCATCAATGTACTAGTCACCTGTGATTGTGAGACAACAAGGTGCAGGGCTGGATGAACACAGCAGGCCAAGCAGCATCATAGGAGCAGAGAGGCTGACGTTTCGGGCCTAGACCCTTCATCAGAAAATTCTGATGAAGGGTCT